GGTCTCCTGAAAATTTCAATTTCTTTCAGTTTCCTGATTTCTAGAGATTCTCATAACTTTGGAGTTTGCTGGTCTTTTGATTTCTGTTGGCTTCCCTAACTTCTGACTCTCCTCCTTCACTGAGCTGCAGCCTCTTGTGAGTTCTGCCTTTCTTTCTCCAAGATTCTTGCTTCCTTTCCCTTGATTGGCTGCCACCAAAAGCCCACCTGGACGATAGCATGAGGAGATCACCTGGTGTCATTAGTTTTTAGACCTGGAGCATAGGAAGCAGCAATAAATAATCATGGGGAATGCCACAATGAATTGGACAAAAAGCAGGTCACGTATTTGAAAAATCATGGGGTAAGTATACTCAAGAGTCGTATTTTGTTTAGCATTATGTTTGCCATCTAATTAATGCCAATTGATATCAATTCCATTAAAATGGTCCCCCACAGGCTGGGAACAGAAATCCCTAGCAGGAATACGGAGGTGCTTTTGTGTATCTTGCTGCTGCCAGGCCTTTTTAAACCTCTCATTCATTCCACCATTTTTGGCATTTGAATTGGTGGATATGGTTAAAATCAATTTTCTGAAACTTCCCATTTTAAGTCTAGTTAGCATTGACTTTCCTTTGGACTGTGCTTCTTAACTTGTCTTCCTTATGATTAGCAATGATCTCAAACCTTCTTCCAATGCACACATCTCTTACTGATGAACATTCAAATCTGCTTAGTTCTCACTTAACAGTAATTACTTCTGTGGCCTGCAGGGCTGAGTAATATTTCTTCAAAATTTCTAACTGACAGGGATCAGACACCTAATGGATGCCAGGCAATTCTAGAAAAATATTATAGCACATTGATCTGCAGCTTCTAGTGCTCTAGGGGAAACATCTACTACTACAATAATAACCAAAGGAAATAAAAATCAGGATAAACTGAGTTTTGCCTTCACAGAAATCACTATTTACAGAAAAAAACCTGCAATGGAATTCATACTGTGATCTGTTCTGTGACAGAAGTATAATCAAGGCTACATTCATTCATTTATTCAATAAATATTAGTGATTGCTTACCAGAGCCTAGAAATACTCCTGTAAATAAATAAGACAAAAGTTCTATCCATAAAACTTATAGGCAAGGGATAAGTTGGTCTACATTTGGAGTAATTGGGGAAGCCTTCATTGAAGAGGTGGCATTCAAGAGGACCCTTAAAGAATACGTAATATTTCTCCATATAGGAAAAGAGAATAAGGATAGGCATGGAGATCTGATAGGCCATGAATGCTCACAAAACAGATGACAGATTTTTATTTGAATCAGAATTTAGAGAATCAAAGAGGCAGAATGAGAAGAAAATCTAAGAAATTATGTTGGGGCCAGATTACAGAAAGCCTTATTGTCCATGCACCTAACCATCCATCCAGCCAGCCAGCCAATAAACAACCTGATATGAAACTCCCATCAAAGAAACTCAGATTACAAAGTAGCAAAGGAACCAGATCTGTGGAATCGGCAGAGAATGTTTTAGAATACGTAACTTGAATTGTATTTAGCTGGGCATGCTCATTTTTCCAGAGGGTGAGATTTCCTGCCTTCACTACTTCTGCCTGTTTCCTCTTTGGGGACTCGATAGTCTCGACCTTTGAAAATGAAAGACTCAGACTTATCGTCAATGCAGGACGTTGCCAATTCTTTTGAGAAATAATCAGCTTCTCTCAGGTGGGTAAAAATGGCTGTCTCCAATGTCAGTCTTTAATTCATCTTTTTTTTTTTTTGAGACAGAGTCTCACTCTGTTGCCCAGGCTAGAGTGCCATGGTGTCAGCCTAGTTTACAGCAACCTCAAACTCCTGGGCTCAAGCGATCCTTCTGTCTCAGCCTCCCAAGTAGCTGGGACTACAGGCATGCACCACCATGCCCAGCTATTTTTTCTATGTATTTTTAGTTGGCCAATTAATTTCTTTCTATTTTTTTAGTAGAGACAGGATCTTGCTCTTGCTCAGGCTGGTTTTGAACTCTTAACCTTGAGCGATCCTCCTGCCTTGGCCTCCCAGAGTGATAGGATTACAGGCGTGAGCCACCATGCCCGCCCTTTTTATTCATCTTGAATTAATTTTTGTGTGTGGAGAGAGATAAGGGCTCTGTTGCATTCATCTGCATGTGGATATCCAAGTTTCCCAATAGCATATATTAAATAGGTATCCTTTCCCCAGTATATGTTTTTGTCTGCTTTGTTGAAGATTAGTTGGTTGTAGCTATCTGGTTTTATTTCTGGGTTTTCTATTCTGTTTCATTGATCTATGTCTCTACTTTTATACTAGTACCATGCTGTTTTGGTTACTATACCCTTGTATTATACTATAATATGAAGTCATGGATTTGTGATACCTCCAGATTTGTTTTTTGCTTACAATTGCTTTGGCTATTTGAGCTTTTTTTTTTTGTTCCAAATGAAGCTTAGGATTATTTCTTCTAGATCTGTGAAATAAGTCATTGATATTTTGATGGGGATTGCAATGAATCTGTAAATCACTTTGGACAGTATGGACATTTTAACAATGTTGATTCTACCAATCCATGAACATAAAGTGTTTTTTCCTTTTGTTACATCAACAACAATTTCTTTCATCAGTGTTTTATAGTTCTCCTTGTAGAGATCTTTCACCTCCTTGGTTAAGTATATTCTTAAGTATTTTATTTTTTGGTAGCTACTATAAATGGTATCAAGTCCTTGATTTGACTCTCAGCTTAACTTATTAGTGTATAGAAATACTACTGATTTATGTACATTGATTTTGTGATCTGAATTTATTTATCAATTCTAGGCATCTTTTGGTGGAGTCTTTAAAGTTGTCTGATACAAGATCATATTGTGTGAAAACAGGGACAATTTGACCTCCTATTTCCTGATTTAGTTGCTCTTTATTTCTTTCTTTTGCCTGATTGCTCTGGCTAGTACTGCCAGTACTATGTTGAATAGAGGTGGTGACAGTGGGCACCCCTTGTCTTGTTCCAGTTCTTAGCAGGAATGCTTTCAACTTTTTCCCATTCAGTATGATGTTGGCTATGGGTTTGTCATATATGGCTTTTATAATTTTGAGGTACATTCCTTGTATACCTAGTTTGTTGAGGGTTTTTATCATGAGAGGGTGCTGGATTTTATTGAATGCTTTTTCTGCATCTATTGAGATGAACATATGGTCTTTGTTTTTGCTTCTGTTTATGTGGTGAATCATGTTTATTGATTTACATATGTTGAACAACCCTTGCATCTCTGGGATGAAATACATGTGATCATGGTGAAATTATCTTTTGGATGTGCTGTTGAATTACATTTGCTAGTATTTTGTTGAGGATTCTTGCATCTATGTTCATAAGGGATATTGGTCTGTAATTTCTGTTTTTTGTTGTTGTGTCCTTTCCTGGCTTTTGTATCAAGGTGATACTGGCGTCATAGAATGAGTTAAGGAAGATTCCCTTCTTCTCAATGTTTTGGGATAATTTCTGTAGGATAGGTGCCAGTTCTTCTTTGTAGGTCTGGTAGAATTCAGCTATGAATACATCTGATCAGGGGCTTTATTTGTTGGGAAACTTTTTATTACTGCCTCAATATCACTGCTTGATATTGGTCTATTCAGTATTTCTATTTCTTCCCCAAGTGTCTTAAAAGAGGAGAAAATCTTACAGGTTTTTAATGGAGGGAAAGATCATATCTGGTTTGGAGGAGTTAGGAGGCACTACTATGTAAAATGTGGCTAATGTAGAACCAAAAATTGAGATCATGGAAGGAAACTTTGAATCATTTAATTCAAACTCTTCCCTTTTATTAATGAGGTGGTATAGTCTACCTCTCTATAAATAAAGAGCTGGAATTCGATCTTGGATATCTCATCCTTATGTCAGTAAGCTTTATTCTGCCTCACACAGTCATCCACTTAAAATTGGAAACAAATCTGTTTTACTTGACTTTTAAATTGCTTATTTAGAAAATAAGCATGGCTTTTCCTTTGAATTTCCTCATTCCTTCTATAAAAAGAAAACTAGAGGCACTAGGTGTGTATGGAATTGCCTAATTCTGCAATTGAGTAACTCCATCATGTTTTGTGTGCCTCAGACCCATAAAACCAAACAAAGAAAACATAATCCCCATCTGCTACAATCTGTAGTTACCCTGCTCCTCCCTGAGGGAGGCAATTCCCGGCTGATTCAGCCATTACTGTATGTTTTCTGCACAGGCTTGCTTTTAATGTGTGAGTTAGCTCTTTTTTTTTCAGACTTGGGCCAATTTTTTCTACAGAAAATTCACAGAGAAACCTAAGTTGAAGTTCACTTGCATTTATTCTTTGCAATTTCATGAGATAAAGTTCACATTGCCCTAAGGACATTTCAAATAAGAAATTTGGAATGGCTTATTTCAAGAAAGGTACAATTTTTAAAGTCCTTCAAAATGAAACAGAATGTGTCCTAGTTGCTTTACATTATTGATGATAATTGGTTCTTTACATTATAATAATGTGTAATAATCACATATAGCGAATGAATTTTCCTGAAATAATAATTATAATAATGAAGATGGTAACAATAATAGTGGCTAATATTTATACTTGATCTTACAATGTGTTTTGTACTTTATGTAGATTATTTTATTTAATCCTCTCAACCATCCCATGAATTAGAAATTGTTAATATTATCCCCATTTTAGAGAGAAGTGACTTTGCTTTAGATCAGCTAAGTAACATGCCCAAGGTTACAGTTAGTAAGTAGCAAAGCTAATATTTTAGCTATGATCTGTCTGACACTGGTCTTTCTGTTTTTATTGTGGTGCTCTAGCTAATGCCTCTTACTGGAGAGCCCTGGTTATCCTAAGTCCTTGGACAATACACATCCCCTATACACATACACACACACTCACATACTCTCATCCCAGTGGCTTCTGTGGCTTCCAATTCTCCTGACACTCAAATACCTCCACAATCTGCCTCCTCTCTACAACCACTTCCCCACAGGAAACCTTCAATCCAGCCAAAGGAGTCACTTTATTTTTTCCCACTCCATGAAGTCTTACCTTTGCCCAAGCAGCTCCCTTTAGCTGCAATGCCCTCCCCCGTCTCCTCATCAACTGACTACATTCTATCTGGGTCAGCTCAAAAGAAAAATTTCCAAGGATGGAGAGAAGATAGGCAGTGGGTGGCTGAGCTCAAGGTGAAATAAAATAATGTTTTCTTTTGTTGATTTTCCAATGTTTGTCTTTTAATTTCTGGAGAGTCTCTATTGCATGCAAAAATGTTAATAGGAGTTGAAGGTCTCTTATTCACACGGTTCCAATCTATTCTGCAAATCAAAAGCAGTGAAAATGATTCATACATGAATAATTCCCCCAAACCTTTGCTTATTGAAATGGATCAGAGATAATTACTAGGTTGGAGAATTTGCATCCACACAATTTTCTAGTCTCACAAACATAATTTTCTTTAGAATGAATAGAAAATATTTGCTCTTTTAAAAGCTGTTGTGAATGGTGAAGCTGTGTTCTTCCTGTATCTTCAGATATGTGGCTGCACCATCTATGGCTGCTTCTCCTCATAGCTGGGGATTCCTCTCTCCCTCCTGGTCTCTCCATCATTGTGGATCTCAGCTCATTTGCTTTAAACTGTCATCTGTATTCATCTCAGTGTGGAGATCTGTGTGTTCTATTGGCCATTACATCTAGGGTGAAGTCAGTGTATTTATAAAAGTTTGAGTTTTTATGATTTCTTCCTGCAAGTTGACTTCCACTGACATACAAGTTGGGAGGATAAGCGTAATCTGTCACATCTCAGAGGCTTATCTGACGACTTAACTTTTAGTATTTAGCTGAGAATCACAGGATATTTTAATCAGAGTTGCTCTGAGAAGGGGGTGGGGATGAAGGCTTTTTGTCTGTGATCCTTTAGAACCATCTGGAATACACATGAGATTCGTTTTCTGCTATTGTCTCTCCAAAGCATCAGGCTGTTGTTCCAGGTGTGTGAAGTGCCTGTATGGCTTAGGTTTAATGCTTGCTTTTCATTATGCCCAACAGCTTGGCCCTTTATTCTCTGAGGGATGTGTTTTCAATACCACAGGAGATTTCTTTATACCCAACCAAATGAATCTTTACAAACAGCTCAACTGGTGTAAGGCCTCAGGTGGGCTTAAGGGACCCACAAGAACAAGGTTTATGTGTAGGCACAGGGGGTATTCAAATGTGGCATTATATTAAAGACACTTTGAATTTCTCTGTTCTGGTTTTCTAGAAAAACAAGCACTTCTCCTCCTGAGACTAAACAAGAGATTCCAGGGTTCCTTGAACCTGTGATAGAAAAAGAAAAAGCAAGGTATGTACAAGACACCGAATAAACAAAGATATTGTGGAAAAAAACAGAGGGAATACAGAAAAACATTAAAAATGTTTTATAAAGGAATAAGGACAAACTAGTGATGTCTATAGATGAATTTCCAGAAATGAGTGAGATTTTTGCATTGCTTAGGGTTAACAAATTATCTTTAAAGGATCAAAAAAACCCCCAACCAACCAAGCAAAAAATAGTCAATACACAGAACACAGCTACATATGACAATGTGGGTAAATTTTAGGAATATAATTTTAAGTGAAAAAGTCCCTAGAGATTACATTCTGCATGACACTTTAAATAATTCTTTTTTATTATAAATATAACACATAAAGGTGGATAAAGATACTCTTTTTATAAACTTAAAAATAACCAAGAGTATATACCATTAATAAATACATATAAATGCAATTAAACTATATTGAAGGAAAAATGAGGCACCAACTAACACAAGTTTTAAGTTGAAAGACAGGGGAATAGGATGGACAAAGATTTCATATGGGTGTAAATTATTGTCATCATTTTAGTTTTCTATTGGGTGGTGTTTTCACACTTACTATATTATTAAAATGAACAAATGAGCAACAAACAAATAAAAGAGAGCCTTTTATGTACAAATGATGAAAGCCTGTTATGAATGTAGGACTTTGTAGTTCTTTGTACCTAAGGTTCAACAAAAAATAATTTGGCAAATAAAAGGGGAAAAGAAAAGTTTGCTCTTTGCAAAACATCATCCAAGTACGGCTGTTCCTATGCTGTGTGTCTTTCCCCCCAATATTGGATGTTAATTACCCTCCTTGCCTTTAAATACAGCTATATATAATAAGTGGGTCTCTAGAGACTCTCAATTCCACCAGCAAGCATTAGCCTTTTGGGAACTACTCTCTCCTCTAAGCAGAAAAGTAGTGAGAAAGTAATTCGTTCGCCGGTGTCCCAGGCAAAAGCGCCCCCTGCTGTTTAGATAGCGGAGTGGCAGTCCCACGTGTACCGTCGCCAAGACCATCTTGGTGTGTGTCTCCACTTTCAAAAGAAAGAGAACTTAAAAAAAAAAAAAAGCAAATATTAAAATGGATAACTTAAATTCCTAAGCAGAAATAACATTCTCCCTTGCCTCCTCCAAAACTTTCTAAACTGCAGAACTTTTAATCTTGACTCATTACACTGATTATTTTTTAAATTGTTGCAGGTTGGGTTTCCTGGGAAACGGGTTGAAATTGAGATTTCTGTGCAGGTAGGTTATGAGATGTGCTCTTGGAAATGATGTCTACGAGAAGGTGCTGCGAAGCTGGGAGAGTTCCTCAGGGCTGTCCTGGATTGAGGTAAAGGGACTGAGATTTTAAAGACCCCTTCTCTGAAGGATCTTCACATTTGCAGCTGCTTTTAGAGAGAATTTTCCTATCACCATTTTCTTTCGGGTCCCTCCATTCCACCAAGTGAGGGTACTGTGCAATAGCAGCCAATTTGTGGTTACACACACATACTGAGCCAGCCCATCTGTGAACTAAACTTGGTCTTTTTTCACCTCTGTCTTCTGGGCATGAGGCACCACCTGCTATAGGTGTGAGCTGAAGGAGAGACACCTTTGTAATACTGGTGACTCTCCTGGTAGTCTGGGTCATCTTACTTGTGCAGCTTACTTGTGCCCTCGGTTCTTGCTCATGTTCCATTTTTGTTTTACTATGGCTAATCTTTTTCTGCAAATGCCATGGCCTTACTCTAGAACTCTCAGTGTCTAATGTTGGGATTCGCCTACTGGAACATACTGTAAAATCCACACAGCATCATTTCTCAGTACAGATTCCTTTAGTACTCTAAGGTCTGCTGGGTTATATGGCCCAAGTATCAAGGCTGCTTGTACTACAGCCTAAACCTGCTGTGGACCCTTTCCTTCTCTGGATCTCACTAAAAGCTGTCAGCCTTCCACATCGCTCAGTAAATGGGCTGAAGCAGTATTTGTATGTATGAAATATGCTGTCTTCTGAACCTGATATATGCTAATCTTGGTATACCCCAGACCACTGAAATCCTGAAAAACTTTACTGATGTGGTGGTCTTCTGAATCTTTGCAAGGTTGAGCTCAAACTCTTAGGAACACATGTGTTTTTACCAAAGTCTCCAACATGCTAGCTATTTTTGCTCATCTGATTTATCATATTATTGTTGATATGGTAGATCAACGTTATGTCTGCAGAATGTCCAGATAGTCCAGATTTCTTGGGCCACATTATGACAGAGAGAAGAAGAGTTAATATAGCTTTGGAAAAAGACCATAAATGTATACTGTCGCCCGTCTCACATGGGTGAGAATTGCTTCTGGCCCTTATTATTAAAAAAACAAACAAACAGGGTCTCACTCTGTTGTCCTAATGAAGTGACATCATCCATAACTTGCTGCAACCTTAAACTCTTGGGGCCAAGGGTTCCTCCTGTCTCAGCCTCCTGAGTAGCTGGGACTACAAGTATGCACTATGATGCCTGGCTAATTAAAAAAATTTTTTTTGTAGAAATGGCATCTCACCATGTTGTTCAGGCTGGTCTCAAACTCCTGGCCTCAAGCAATTCTCCCACCTACGCCTCTCAAAGTGCTAGGATTACAGGCATGAGCCACTATGCCTAGCCAACTTCCCATCTTTCTTGGGAAGGATGAAAAAGAACGCATTTGCTGGATCAATGATTACATATCATGTATCTGAAATCCAGTTAATCTGCTTCAGCAAACATTTCACATCTGGGACTACAACCACAATTGGGTTATTGCTGGGTAGAGTTTGAAGACATCTGCTGCCATCCTTCAGGATCCATCTGTGTTATGGGAGCCACATGAACGAATCAAAAGGAGATATATTGGAAACTACCATCCATGCAACTTTTAGATTTTTAAAAGTGTAATCTCTGCCATTTCCCCAGGAACAATAATTAATTAATTAATTTTTGGTTGGTTTTCATCAATGTATAATTCACATACAATAAAATGCATAAATCTTCGGTATACAGTTCAATGCATTTAGACAAAAGATACAACTCTCTAATCTACCATAACTAAGATATAGGAAAACATTCCTATACCTGAAAAAGTTCTCATTTGCCCTTGTTGAGTTAATTCTTTCCCTTCAACCTTGACCCCAGACAATCATTGATCTACTTTCTGCTTGTATATTGTATTTGGCTTTTCTAGAGTTTCATCTAAATGGAATTATACAGTATATATATTTTTTGTCTTGGGTTTCCTTCTCTCACCATAATGCTTTGAGATTCATCCACATTCTTGTTAGTATCAGTTGTTTGCCCCATTTACCATAGAAAAGTATTTCAGTTCATGAATATATACTGTTTATCCATCCTCCTGTTGATGGACTCTTGAATCAACTCCACGTTTTGGCTACTATGAGTAAAGCTGCTGTTAACATTCATGTACAAGTTTTTTTATGGATGAGTTTTCATATGCTGTCTTGGATTAATACTTAAGGAGTAGAATTTCTGTATTATAGATTATATGTTTAACTTTTAAAGAAACTTTACAAATAAGTCTCTAAAGAGGTTATGCTACTTTTAAAAAAATACCACTTGCAATAAATGAGAGTGACGGTCTCTCCACATCCTTACCAACTTTTGGTGCTGGAAAACTTTTGACTCTAGCTGTTCCATGATGTGAAAATGGTATATCAGTGTGATTTTAATTTGTAGTTGCCTGTTGATTCATGATTTTGAACACCTTTCTATGTGATACTGGCTGTATCTATATCTTCTCTTAAGTATCTTTTCAAGTCTTTTTCTTACTAAAAAATTGGAGTTGTTTTTCTTTTTATTGTTCAGTTGTAGTAGTTTTAAAAATACATTGTGGCTATGAGTTCCTTGGTAAGGACATATTCTGAGTATTTTTCTCAGTCTGTGAGTTGACTATTCATTTCTTAAGGTAGCTTTTTTGGTAAGCAGAAATTTTTCTTTTAATAAAATCTAAATTATTTTTCCTTTTATGGTTAATCCTTTTTGTGCTCTAAGAGACCTTTTACTAATTACTTCAAAGTCGTGATGATACAGACCTATGTTTTTCACTAAAAGCTTTATGAATCTAATTTTTACATTTAGTTCTATGATTCATCTCATATTAACTTCTGTGTGTGGTTGTGTAGAAGTGGAGGTGCATTTTTTCCTCATATGTTTATCTGGTCCCAGAATCATTTGTTAAATGACTTTCCTTTTGGATTGAATCGGCCATACTTGTGTTGGCTGGTCTATTTCTGGACTTGCTATTCTTTTCCATTGATCTGTTTATCTATGTTTAGGCCAATACAACATTGGCTGAATTTTAATTAGTACAGCTGTAAAGTCATTAAGTCAGGCGGTATAATAAATCTTGGACTTTGTCCTTTTTTATAATATTGTTTTGAATGTTCCAGGTCATCTGCATTTTCGTGAAAATTTTAGAATCTGTGCATTTCTATAAAGTGTTTACTGTCACCACCATTTCCTCCAGCAAGTCTTCTCTAAGCATGTGGTGAAAGCCTGTGGGAAAATGTTAGATTTGGGTCCGTGCAGACTTGCTCTTGGCTGAGGCTCCTTGGGCCTCCAATCCACATGTGCTGCTGCTTGAGGCTTGTTAGGGGTTTGGCTGATCCCCCCTTACCATTGTCAAAGGTGCATTCCTCCTTTTCCTCTGCTCTGCCAGGGATGGAAGCAGCTCATCATTTTTTTTTTTTTTTTTGAGACAGAGTCTCACTTTGTTGCCCGGGCTAGAGTGAGTGCCGTGGCGTCAGCCTAGCTCACAGCAACCTCAAACTCCTGGGCTCAAGCAATCCTTCTGCCTCAGCCTCCCGGGTAGCTGGGACTACAGGCATGCACCACCATGCCCGGCTAATTTTTTATATATATATATCAGTTGGCCAATTAATTTCTTTCTATTTATAGTAGAGACGGGGTCTCGCTCAGGCTGGTTTTTGAACTCCTGACCTTGAGCAATCCG